TTCCCTACACTCCTCCTACCATTCTAGGAAGGGAAGGAGTGTGGGAGAGAGTATATTGCTGAGGAGTCTTTTTCTTTCAAAGCTATAATTCTCTCTGCTCGGTTGGTGCATGACCTCTTGGTCCTGGCTCGCTGTGGAGAAGTTTGTGGTTGAGCTGTGAGTTTGTTTTCTGTTTTAGTCCTTGTGAATACGAGGCTAGCCAGTGATGTTGGTTGCATGTCATTCTCCGGTAGCTCATCTGTCTGACAGTAAGTCATCTGCTGTGTCAGGTGCATGTCATGTTGAGTTAGCCAGGGATTAGAGCCTGACTCACTTGATTAGACACACTTCATCATGTCCCAATGTTTGACTTACACACGACATGGCCTTTTTTGGGTTGTCCCTCATTTCCCCTTCCTTTGCTTATCACTCTGATTATTTATCCTCTTCTCATCCCTTTCTAATACCTCTAGCACAGTGTTTCCCAACCCTGGTCTTCCAGTACCCCCAACAGTACACATTTTGATTGTAACCCTGGACAAGCACACCTGATTTCAACTTGTCAACTAATCATCAAGCCCTCAATGAGTTTAATGAGGTATGTTTGTCACGGGCTACAACAAAACTGTTTACTGTTGGGGGAACTGGAGGACCAGGTTTGGGAAACACTGTGCTAGCACACACTTTCTCTCCCTCTCTCCCCCACCCCTCCTTTCCCATCTCTCTCTCTCTCACCCCCCCTCTCTCCCATCTCTTTCTCTCACCCCCCCTCTCTCTCATCTCTCTCTCTCTCCATCCACCCCCCTCTCCTCTCTGTGATTCATTAGGTCCTCTCAGTGGCTTCTACACAATCAGGGTCAGCCTCTTATCAAAGGCCTCTCTGTGCTGGAGATGAGGCCCAGTCTTCCACAGGACAGAGGGAACTTTGTGCCAGCTGTCCACAGCCCAGTGGGCCTGTTGGAGGAGAGGAGCAGGGAGACAGGGAGAGGTAGGGAGGCTGAGTGATGCCTCTTTAAGAGTCGTGGTGTGGGCCAGGCAGTCCCACTCAGTGAGTCTCACTTGGCCAAGCAGCTAAAGGAGAGGTGATTACAGCTTGTAGGCCAGGGATTCTGCTGTATTCTGCGCCATTGTTGGGGGCTTTGTTAACACTGAAGCAGGGCACTGGGGAACTGCTGTCACTCTGTTCATGGAAACAGCTAGAGGTCTCCTAGGCATTCCCGGACATGTTGTTGTTTCTCTCAAGGGGGTGTAGCTTGGCCTCCATGGGGCTCAGGCCGACCAACAGGAGTGTGCCTCTCACCATTGTAAGCTGGCATCAGTGAGCCCTGGCTGTGAGTTGCCTGGGTAACTTCTACACTACAGAATGTGCCCTCACAAGGAAATGCTTTTACCGGGAGCTTTTAGAATACCTTGGAAAAGTGCAAGGTTCTCATCGCAAATATTTTAATAATTAATTCCCGTCTCAGTGCAATGTGCTCTTGCCAGTGGCTTTGATGTTGTGTGCTTGGTAACTGGGTCTGTGTATCTGCTTAATAACACAGTAGTCTGAAAGCACCTTCTATATTACCCTAGCAGCACGCAGGGTATTGTGCCTTGGCTGGCACAACAGAAACAAACCCAACCCCTCCTAGTCTCCCCAGAGGCAGCCATGATGACATGACCCCTGTCTCTCTCTGTCTGAGTGGTGCAGCCTAATACTCATCTGTACCCAGGCCCAGTGGAGCAACTGGGAGGTCAGAGCCCCAATTACAGGAAGTTAACCTCACTTAGTCAACAGGCTTACAGTGCCTCGACATGTCCCACAGACCTGCTAATATACACTACCGATAGGGAGTAGGGACTCCTGTATGGGGACCGGGGAGTGGGGTGGGAAGGATGAGGATTGGGATGTGTGTGTGTCAGCCAGAAGGAGAAGCTTCATCCACCTCTCCTCTTTTTTCCTCCCCAGCTTTCCTCACACACTCTCAGGGTCTCTCCACCCCTGGCTAATGTCTGAAGCTGAGGGGATGTGAGGAAACGTGAGCATAGCATTATGCATTCATGTACACACACACACACCGGCCCCTCAAAATGTCTGTCGGAAGCCAGATTAAGGCCTGTGGCTGTGTTTCGGCTGCGGTGGCTGTGTGTGTTGTGGTCCTATTTATCTTTCCCTGTGGACACTCTGCTCTGTGCAGCAGGCAGGCAGCGGGCCCAAAGCTGCAGGGATTGAAATGCGGAGTGCAAACAGGATAAGGTTTGCCATGCCATGGCTAAGTGTCCATCCATTATAGCAGAGTGCTAGCCGCATAGCCCGGCCTGGCCAGGAGGAAGGAACCTCTGCTTTGCTGTGTGATGGAGGTCATGCACTGTGAGCACCACCAACTACAGTCTCCATTACCCTATTCATTATAGGTTGGATTTCATCATTCATGATATAACTTCTAAACAGTCAAATGTGACACTGATGCGGAATAATGAACTTCATGTACGATAACGATATTATGTTATGATGAATTAAGATGCTATTTTTGATCATTTTTGTAGACTGTCTGGTGCAGGAGCAAATCACAGTGTATTTTAAGATATAGATATAGCGCCTGAAATAGAATGAGTCTAAATATGTCCTAGCAGTATTGATGTTCTGATTAAAAGTCAATAAAACAGTGTGATATCCAGTTTGTTTGTTTATTTGTTTGTTTAGAATGGGGATTATTTATCTTAATCTGGCTGCAAGCTTTTACACTACTTAGACTACTAGATCCAATAAGATTTGGGGCACATCAGGAGGGAGGCTCAGACTGGTGCACAGTTGTAGGACTTTTTTTGGTGTCAAAAACTCCCTCTTGTCAACTCAATGTGTTTATCAGCTCAATGGGGATGATGAGCCTGGAGCGCTATGCATCCTGGAAGAACCCTAGAGCAGGGGTTGGCAACAGACGGCCCGCAGGCCAAAACTGGGCCCCCCAAAGTTTTTAGCAACAAAAACAACCCGACTAAAATCAACAGGAATTCAGCTAAAAAAAAAATCCCACGAATAAAAAAAGAGACGTGATTGTGTCTCAATATAATCAAGATACAAAATTATTTTCAAATGCAATCTCTTTTTGGGCTTAGTTGTGGTCAATTTGCAGTGTACAAATTATTATTATGTTCTGGCTCCCCTACCCCTGCCATAGAGTATAACCTATATTTGTTTTAGTTCCTAATGTACTGTATTTTATTCACAATATTTATATTGTTGCAGAGTGTACATATGGTGCTCCTTTCAGAGTGACAATTTAACCATCTCCCTGGGGTCACTGGCTTACAGTAGCAACACTGATGGCTCCTGGGTAATATGGACTGGTTGTATGGATAGAAATTGTATTTATTTATTGTGTTTGGAGATTCTTAGTGGCAGAAGCATTTATTTATACTGCTTTTGATTTTCTTTCAGATTGTAATCATTTCTGACACATTTTCAATTTAACATGCTTAGAGAACATGTTTATATTTCTGGTGTCTCATCAAGTAAATCAATTCACATACATGTCAATGTCTATTTCCCCTGCTTTGTATGTGTGAAGTAGTGTATGTGTCTGTATGAAGCAGTTTTCCCTGATGTGTGAATGTGCCTGGCATGGAGAAATACAAGCCCATCACAGCATTGACAGCCAGTGGCTAATGTGATCACAGCTTGTGTGCTGCAGGGAGAGGAACCGTAATCTCTCCCAGTGTCTCGCTGCCAAATTGGCTCAATCTGCCAGGGAGAAACATCACAGAGTTCTCTGCTGTCGGCTTTCAAAAGGCCTTTTTTATGTGGGCTCAGGATGTTTGATCCAGTAAACTGTATCTCAGCATTTTGATTTGGTCAACCTGCTATCCATAGCATGTGAAAGGACTTCATAGGGATCACAATTTCCATAACACCTGATATATAAATAGTTAGTAGTGCGTTCTATTGGTTTATTAAATTACCTAATAATCTACTTTGGGAATTCGTTACAGGAATTTAATGATTAGGTTGAAGGCATAATTTTGCTTAGGTTGGAGAAAATATATTACAACTTTTTGGATTTGGCTGAGCTTTTATGTTCCCCCCAGATGTTTATGCTGAAATTGGTTTGAAAAGTAGAGCCGTTATCTGAAATTGAAATGTCAGTGACTTTTTACTGTGTCAGTTTGCCAGGAGGCAAAAATCACATCCAAATATGACTCTGCAGGCAGGTTTGTGAAATCCAGATATCCCTTTCAATCCTGTAGAATAGAAATGTTGGCATGTTTGTAATGCTGTCCTGGAGTTTCTAAAAGCATCTATCTGACTGACTATGCCGATCATAAATACCCCCCGGACATGTCAGGAGAAAGTACGTCTGGAAAACCACAAAATCTGAAAAGAGATAGGTCATATCTAATTTAGCAAATGCCTCGAGAAAAAAGCAAAACTTTTTATTAAAAATGTGGATTCGGGAAGTAAATTTGTTCTGCAGTCATTTCCTACTCCCACACAGTCAGTCAGATGATTAAAGTTGGAGAACATTATCTTGCTTACTCAAGGCCCAAAGAGAGATTAACTAATTAGACACAGTCCAGTACTTTCCACTGTGCTGCCTGCTAGCCTGCTATAAAACCTAGGAGCATGGCAGAGGCCACATCAGTAACAGGGCACTGCACACAGCCAATTACCAGGCAGGTAGCCTGTGTCACTGTGTCATTGTCTACCTATCCAGACCAGAGCTATTGGTGTCATTTTCAACACCAGTCAGTCATCTTACATTCCCCAACTGTTTCCACTCTTCGCCTAGTTAGAGAAAGTTGGTGTGAAATGAGAGGGTATGCAATTATTGAGTTTACAATATGTTCTAATACCAAACCTCTCCTTTGTTTATTTCAGGGTTGTAGCCAGTTGGAGTGAGATGAGAACCCAGTGGAGTAGCAGACAGACAGAGTCTAGCTGTAGGGGCAGTATGCAGGCTTGAACACTGAGCATCCAGCTCCACAGTCAGCCTAGCCATGCCCTGCTGCTGAGTGCCCTGGTGACCAGCTCTGGCCTTGGCACC